TTTTTCATTGGAAATTAAATGTAATATTATTATATATAGTATAATATAGTATAATAATATACTATATAGTATAACAATATTACATTTAATTTCCAATGAAAAAATTTAAAATACATTAATACGTAGAATTTTTTAATTTTTATTTTCATATTCAATTTTTACCTCAATAAATAAATGATCACTTGGAATATTAATTAGCGTAGAAGCTAATACTGTTTTGGTCTCGAACGATTCACTTGTTCACCAACCACGTAGCGTAAAAGCAAATATTTTGGCCGATGTCTTTGGCCTGTTCGGGATCGGTTCACTGTGTGCGAGGCACACAAGTTTCGGTATTTACCGGCATCGTTGGCGAAGGGAAAAGCCCCATCCATTCGTTTCAAGCCGGACGAACGGGGAAAGAACGATTTAAAGAGAGACCGAAGCTCCGTTTCACCCCGCGACGGGACGAAATCGTTCCGTCCTTTAACTTTTCCCATTCTTTCACTGGCATTCCCCTTTGCGATTCGCCGCTCCGCTCTGTCTCCTTTTTCTTCCGCCCTCTTTGTTTCAACTCTGCCTCTTCCTTCCTTCGTCCTCTTTCACCAAACTCCTCGTCCATCAGCCCCACCGACACGCTTTCACGCAGAAAGCTGGAAACTCGTGTTCCATCCATCGACTTCCCCCGCCCGCTTGTTTCCACCGGTGTTCCCGCTGCTACGAGTACTTTCAAACGGAACGCTCTTCGTCTTCTTAAAACGTAAGCCACCCCCACCACTCCATCCTTGTTCGCGATGCGGACGAACGACTGCGACCTCTCTTATTTACCGAATTCTCGTCTCTCTTGGTTCTCGTTTCGTCCGATCATGGTGTTCACGGTGGTCACGCTTAGCTGCGTTGGGTAACCTTCTTCCTCGATTCCTCTTGTGTTTCTTTTCGCCTGTTGTTTGTCTTTTTTTGTCGGGGAAGGCGGTTGTACGTCTTTTGTTCCGACGTCCGCCATTTTCCTCTCTTTATCGCAGAGACACGCGCCAGAGTTTCAAAGAGCTGAATTTGACTTTTGATTAGTCTGATTTGATCTCAGTTGTGCCGGGATGTTTGAAAATCTGTATAAAAATACCTCTGAGCCTCTGATCCGAAAAAATATTATACTCGAGTACAATTTTATGATATTTAGTATTTTACGAAATCTTTGCAACGCGACGAG